CCTGCAGTCTCGTTCACTCTTTTATTGTGCGGATGAGGACCAGTTCCAGAATGAAGTCTAGACGTGGTTTTGTTCGTTGCACTATAGGATTGATATTCCGGTCTATTTTTAAAATCTGTGCACTCGGCTACAAGACGATGAAGATGATCAATCAAACTACCAACGCTCGGAATTTTTGAGAGAAGTTTTTCATCATGATTAACTTGTTTGTTCATACTATCGAGCTTAAGAGAGCAAATGATTTGATCTTGTTCTAAAACCACTTCACTGTACTTAAGCCTTTCATCTATTAACTCTCCTACTTTTGTTTCAAGCCTTATCTTGGCTCTCGTGGCTTCCTCGAGTTTAGACTCAAGCTCAGTGATTTGTGATTTAAGATGATCATTTTCAGAAAGGTTTTGATTAAGCTCAATAGTCAATCTTTTGAAAATTTTCCGAGCTTTGGTTTTGGATAGAGAATCAAACTTAGATAGAAAATTTTCAAAGTTTACCTCGAAGCTCTCTTGATCGGATTCCTCATCAGAGTGTGCCATAAGACATAGACCCGTATGGTTAGAGTTCTTACACTCTCCTCTTCTTCGTCATCGGATGAGTCTCCCCAGGCTGCCATCATTGCCTTTTTGAGACCTCTTTTGAACCTTTGTCTTTGCTGAACCTCCGGTTAGAACTGGACTTGTTCTTGTCATAGGTTCGGTCATTCATCTTTTGTGGACAGTCTTTTACCCTGTGCTCGAAGGAACCACAAACAAAACAGCCTTGGTTATTAAAAAATTGAGAGTTATTTTTACCTTGTTTGTTCCTGTTGTTTTTGAACCTACGATACATCTTCCCTAATTGTCTAGCAAATATGCTCATCTCATCTTCCGATTCACTTTCGGATTCTTCTTCCTCTTCTCGAGCTTTTAGAGCAATTCCTCTCTCTCGCCTTACAGTCTCAACGTCTTGCTCTTCTTGAAGTCCTAATTCATATGTCATGAGTGAACCGGTCAAGTCTTCAAGAGTCATGGTGGATAGGTCCTTTGCTTCCTCAATAGCCGTGGTCTTAGGCTTCCATATACCGAGGGAAAGCTTCTCAAGATTTTTCTCACTTGATCTTCCACAGTAATTTCCTTTCCAAGGGCTGAAAGCTCATTGATGATATTAGTAAAACGTGTAATCATATTCTTAATTGACTCTCCGGGCTTCATTACGAATAATTCGTAATTACGCATAAATATGTCAATTTTAGATTTTTTACACGTGAGGTTCCTTCATGAGTAACCTCAAGCAAATCCCACATTTGCTTTGTAGTCTTACATCCTAGAACACGGTTGTGTTCAGCAGGACCAAGACCACAAATCAAGTATTTAAGAGCTTGGGCATTATGTTCGAGTTTTTGATAATCATCAGTAGTAAATCCAGCTTTAGGTTTAGGAACAACTTTACCTTCGCTATTTAGCTTTGTGATGACGTTGTCGCCACCTTCTATCACATTCCATACCTGATAATTATCGGCTTTGATAAAGTTCTCCATCCGACTCTTCCAGAACTGATAGTATTTGCCATTGAACAATGGTGGTCGTTGAGTCGAGTACCCTTCTTCCAATCGGTCAACCATATTCATTTTGCCGGATCTCTTCCCAAGGTATTAGCCTCTATGTGGTGAAGACCGGCTCTGATACCAATTGATGAAAACAGTTAGCAACACAAGAGGGGGGTGAATTGTGTGTGTGGAACCGTGGCAGTTTTTCGCCCAGTTCTAGTGCGGGGTATAGGGAATTGCCAAATAGTAAAGTGCACAAGGATTTAACGAGGAAACATCCCTTGGCTCAAAGGGATTAAAAAACCTCGACCTCCCTCGGAGGAATTTTAACAACTTCACTAAAAAGCGTTTGAATGATTACAAGGGAAACTCTCCTAGTATACCCTTGAGCCACCCCAACTCTATCCTCTCTAGGAAGAGTTACGCTTCTCTACCTTGCGGGTAGAGAGCCTCTCAACTTTACAACAAAGCTCTCACTCACACAAATCAACCCGAGGAGGCTGCTCTTTGCCAATCCTCAAAACCCCATTACAATACGAAGAAGGGAAAGAAGAAACTATATCTAGAACTCCGAGTGAGCAGTTTCAGGTGCCTTGAGCTTCAGTAATTCTTTTATGAATATATCTCTCCATGTCTATCTCGGTCAAGCACACACTCTTCTCTTGATCTTCCGTCATATATATAGCTTCATGAAAGACGTCCGTTGGCTCCTCTTTCCTTGATTGAATTCTTGGACTTGCCTTGATATTTTGAATTGCTTTCCTTACATAATATCTCCCATATCCGAGCACAATATAGAAGGCAGCCAAATTAAGACATCCAAAATATCATAATTGTATATTCGTTAGTAGCATATCAATCACACACCAAGTACAACTCATTTAAATCTCGTGAAATTAATTAAGGAGGGGAAAATTCAGGTTGCTTATATTCACTAAGAAGGTAAGCTTCGGTCAATTAAAAAGGTAGGGAAGTTTTCATTAATAAACGTAAGCATGCAACGACCATAATATGAATTCCCCATTTAAATCAATTTCCTTTGATAAGTGGAAGTACTCAAAAAAAAAGGAAAACTTTCCATTTAATATTTCACCTAATGATGATCCCTTTTTAAATCAAGCAGGGAGTACGGATCATGCTATGTGCACCTTCATGACAAGGAATAATTAACATAGTGGAGCAAGAAAATAAATTATTATCTTACCATAATAAGATTGCAACGGCCCATTCTTACTTACACCACTCAAAATAGTTTATTCAAGAATGAGTACTTATGGTAAGCAAAGCATCCATTGATAGCCGTAATATTAACACATTTAATAGTTTAGGCAAGAAAACTTTTTCTAGTTATCATTAATAGTATGGCCCACCATTATAAGGTAATAAGATTATTTCCATACAGTATATGTGACAATAATTTCAATAAGGCCTCTAATCACATTTTCAACTTTGGGCACGTAAAACATCCATGCAAGCAAGTATTTAATTAGCTAAAATAGCTTAGAATGGTTCTATCCAAGAAACATTATATCCACCTGCATGGTTAGTCAACAACACAATAATAATGTCCATTTGATCCTAAGGATAGTTGTGTCCTTTGTTCCTTAAAGAACTAGGAGCAGTTTTGTCCGCCGTTTCACCTGCATGGTTAGTTATCAACAAAACATATATGTCCGTTGTAGGATAGTTCCGGGTTCAGGTCTACGGCTTATCTTCCTTTCCTGCAGTCACTTATAGACAAAAAATAACACTAGTTGTTTGTCATCAACAAAACAATATGTTCCAACACTCTCGTCCTTCTAGTTTGATATAGTTGCAGACCCAGTTTTAATCATATGCTCCCAAAATAGAAAGTCTAAATAAGACTTTAATGAGCTAAATAGTTGGGCTTTTCTCATGGGTCAAAAAATAAGGAAAAACCCAACTCTTTATTCATGACATTATATTTTCTCCGCACATTTTTTGCATGTTATCTAATTTGACTTAAAATTTTGTTTGTGATATGATTTAAAAATTTGCAAAAATGTGTATGATGGAGTTTAATTCCAATTACGAGAGCTAATCTACGAAAAGTAGAGAACTTTAGGCAACGTAAGACCATTTGGAGTGGTGAAGTATTAGGAGTCCAAAATGCTAAATGTAGAATTTTTGGACTCCTAATTGTGTGTAGTGGTAGTTTAAAAGGGGTATTAAAAATGGAAGAGGGGATGGAAGGTATTAAATATAGAGAGTTGGTTAAGAGGGATTGGGAAAAAGAAAAAGAAAGAAAAAGAAGAGAAAAAAGAATGCAGGTTGATTTTCTGGTGCGGATGATGTCATGCTGATGTCATCCCTGCATCATAATATCCCAAAAAAATTTAAACTTGTATAACTTTTTTATTTTTTATCCAAAATTTTCAAAAAGTTTATCAAAATTCATAAATTTTATGATCTTTCATATGACATCAATATGTAATATATAAAAATGATTTTTTTTGAAGTTTTAACTGTTGAAATTTTCTTAAGCCCCAGAAAAACATGAAACACAAATCTTTAATTCATGAAGCCTTCACAAATAATTGAATATTCCTTAATCGAACTTTACTTGAATTAAGTTCATATCTTGTTAACAAAAAAACATTAAAAAAATTATTTAAATTTATTTATTTTTACATCGAAATATGTATTTTTATTTCATAATTATTCAGCGAAAAAATTAAAAGGAAAACATTATTTATAATAATTTAATTAATGTTTTTCTAAGTTGATAGGTTAAATTATATGTTGAGTGTATTTTATTGACGGTGCTGAAATGCATGAAAGTGAGAGTCAAAACACTGGTTTCATATAGACGGAGTCCATATTTAACAATTTGACCTCTCAATCTCTCCAAATGGTCTAAGGCATTATTCATATTCTAGAGAGCGGATCCCTTTTAAGGTATGTACATGAAGTATTTATAGAAAATAGAATTCCTCCGTCTCATAGAACTTGACCATATCACTTTTCTTAATCAATAATAATGATCAAATTTGACTAATGAAAATTATTTTAAAATGTTCTTAATCAAAATACTTAAAAAGTTTATTACGGAGTATTATTGATTAGGGTCAGATAGGGCCTCGAACTCGAAAAAAAATTTTCCGAAATGTACGGCGTTGTTTAACTTCACAGTTATCTTCAAAAACTCATTTGACTACCTTCCCGGTTGATTTTTTAGCTGAAATTTGGTATGGGTAAACTAGACTTAATGAGGAAGATGCTCAAAAAATTTTATCAAAAAATTCCAACGGGAACCACCCCAAATGGCGTCGGCCAGACAGAGCATCCGAAATATGACCTTATTTGACATTTTTTTTCGAGTTCGAGGCCCTATCTGACCCTTATCCCAAAAATTAATAATAACTTGTGCACCCAATAATTGTAGACCCATAAAGGGGATGATTGCTTGGTCACCCCAAAAGGAATCCACTCTCCTTTTTTGGTGCGTCTTTCATTTGTGACCACTTACATTTTGTCACTGTGACTATCACCGACAGTGGTACTACGCACTTCCCTTTCCACTCATCTCAAAACTGATCTTTGGCTCTCTTGAAATTTACGTTCCTCTGAATTTCATATTTCACCAACCTTCTTTTACTCGTGCTTCCAAATTCTGCCAAAAAACAAAAGTCGGTCAATTGAATTGCCCATTCTAAACGACCAAACCAAGCAGGAAGCAATCCCATCCTCCATTTTCGGATCCAAAAATCATAACCCATAACTCTTTTCTTTTCCCAGTTCTCAAGCCTGATCAAATCTTGTTCCTGCACTGACGTTTATAAATCATTCATCCTAAAACTTGTGTCGGTTGTATATAGTTTGGACTTAGGGACTGTTTTTCAAAGTTCAAACCGTTGCCTGTTGTGTAATTGTGTTGTTGTCTGCGGAAGATTAGATTTTGGAGTGGTTTTTCGAGTGAGTGAGTGAGAGAGCTAAGGAAGGTGGCGATGAAAATGGTGGCGGATTGGAAATATAGGTGGAGATCTCATCAGAGCAAGCCGAGAACCTTCATTCTGAAGCTGGGTTTGTCTGTTTTCATGGCGGCTCTTGTTTTCAGGCTGCTCTTCTCTAGATCCATTCATGTTCCTCAAGTTGCACAAACTGGGATCATATTTCTTGAAAATATTGTGGCCACCCAATCTGTGGACATTATTGGTACTCCCTCCCTCCCAAATATAATGTCTCAAGTATTACTATTTGACACAAAGTTTTGGGATATATATGATTTTGTATTGCAGAACTTTTATGTATTACCTCGGTCCCATAATTTATCGTGATACGCCATTCATACTTTTGATTAAGAAGGTGAAAATTGTCTGATCTAAAGTAGGGCAGAGGAGAGACAAATGTTAAAGTCACATATTCTTTCACATAAAAGGAAAAGAAGTTTAAATTGGTACAGATGAAAAAGGAATCAATGAAGTTTATTTTGATAGTGACAAGAAAAGGCTCTTAGCTTGTGAGCTTAAAACCAGTTAATTAACTCAGGAGGTTGAATGTATTAAGATTGACTTCAAGTTTCATTCTAAATGAGCAATCTTCTAGGAGTAGTAAGACAATGTGGGTTCATATTTGGCTAAGTTGGGAAGGTTCTATAAAATTGTCTGTTTTTTAAATTGAACACAAACAGGACGAATTAAAAAAGAATGTAGGACATTAAGGAGTACAGAGTATTATGAAACTGATTGAGAGAGTTTAACAGCATAGTATTCTCTACTTTTTTAGATTTGGGGAACAATAAATGTACAAATAGTTCCCAAAACTCAAGCGAGAACTGCTAAATTTAAACATCCAAAACCCAAAAAACCTATTTTGGGAAAGACATACTTTTCTGTTTTGAGTGCTGTGTTATAATTGGGCAAGAAACTTTGATGAATTGACTTTTCTGTTGCAAAAGTTTTACTTCAATTTTCCCCCCAACTCCTAAGTGAGAGCTGATTAAACACTATTTCATTAAACTATTGTCACAGGGCTTTTAATTATTTACTACGTATTTATTTGTTAGTTTATATTTAGAGGCTTAGAGCTGATTCTCTATCTATATTCTTATCATGCAATGCGACTTTTTTCCTTGGAAAGACGAACAAGATGTAGAGCAGTGTGATCTTTTTCGAGGAAACTGGATTCCTAATCCAAGCGGTCCGCTTTATACGAACGAGTCATGCCCCTTCATCGAAAGCCATCAGAACTGTATGAAGAATGGGAGGCCAGATACGGGCTATCTTTACTGGAGGTGGAGTCCACGTGGATGCGACCTCCCTCGCTTTAATCCAAAGAGATTTCTTGAGCTTATGAGGAATAAAACTTGGGCATTAATTGGTGATTCCATATCTAGGAATCATGTCCAGTCAATTCTTTGCAGTCTCTCTAAGGTATGCCATAAAATAAACAATATCTTTATTTAAGCTTTTTAGTTGAGTTTGAGTTCATTCTTTGTTACACTCCACATCATTTGTTTAGTATATACATTAGATGGTTACTGTGTTTGATGCCTTTGTAGGAGCCCGTTTGGTATGCCCCAATGGGCTCATAAGCTTTAAAAGATTGTAAAAGCTGATCAAAGTATCACACACCCCAAAAAATTGTCTTGCTACTTTTTAGTCTAATTCACGTTTTTGCTAAGAAATGACAAAACTGTCCTTTTCTTGCTTTGCCCTATGTAAAAAAATTACCCTTTCTGTCATAGAATCAAGTTCTTGCCTTAATGTTTGACTGCTGATAAAGTTAAGTCTTTCCTCGGAATACACAAATTTCTTTTAACGATTTAAATTTACATATATATTAACTACTCCAAAAGTCTATCCAAGTGCAAAAAAACCAAATTCGAACATGATAAAAGTTTGATACATAAAATTAGACATTGAGAGCAAATTAAGTTGACTGCTGAAATATTGAACAAGAACCAAATTTTTGGACAAAGGTAGTTACTACATATCCTACTTACATATCCAGTAAATCATTTAAACTAAAAAACACCAAGCACTTGTAATTCAGCCCATTCAATCAATGCAGTCATTTCAACTATCACTAAACAAGCTCTAAAACAGTATTTTTGCATATTTGAAATTAGTGGTCTTTTCTGAGAGTGTGATTGAGATTGAGCTATTTTTCCCCAGATAGAACGAGCAGTTGAAGTGTACCATGACAAGGACTACAAATCCAGGAGATGGTTCTTCCCGTCATTCAATTTTTCTGTTTCAGTCATTTGGTCTCCTTTTTTGGCAGAAGCAGCCATTTTTGAAGACATAAACGGAGTTTCATCTTCTGAGATTGAACTGCATCTTGATAGGCTTGACAAGAATTGGACCCAACAATTTGACGGATTAGATTATGTAATGTTTTCGAGTGGCCAATGGTTTGTGAAAACAGCTGTCTATCTTAAGAACAATACTATATTGGGATGCCACTATTGTCCCAAAAGGAACTTGACCGAGCTCGGTTTCGGGTTTGCCTATCAAGAAATTCTAAGAACTGTTTTCAACCACATTATTTCCTCAAAGCATAAAGGGACAGTGTTTTTCAGGACAAGCACTCCGGACCATTTTGAGAACGGGCAATGGTTTACAGGCGGGAAGTGTGATAGAAAAGAACCGGCGCGTGATGGTGGGTTTGAGTTGAGCGACGTTAATAGAGTTCTTCGTGAGGTTGAGTTACAGGAATTCGAAAAGGCGTCGGCCCAGGCAGCTGACAAGGGAGTGAAACTTGAGCTCTTTGATGTCAATCCGCTTTCCTTGTTGAGGCCTGATGGTCACCCGGGCCCTTATAGATTCTTTCAACCGTTCTCCGACGGGAAGCACGGGACGGGCATCAATGACTGCTTGCATTGGTGCTTGCCCGGGCCTATTGATTCTTGGAATGATTTGCTAATGGAAATGGTTATGCGTGGGTAAATAGTGATGCAACTTGTTCCATCCATCCTTCGGGAGGTTTATGTATAACTAAATTAATAGCGGTCTCATATAAACCAAGTGGTGTCAATTTTTTCTTCCCCTCATTCATATCAAATATACAATGAGCTTATGTAATAGATATAAATTTGTAAAGTATATTGTATTTTAATTACATAAATGTTATTAAATATATTATACGGAAAACATATTAAGACGAATGAAAAAAATGATGGTATGAATCAAGGAGTATACTTCTTCAACCCAAACAGAAAGTCAAGTTTGGGTGAGATAAAACCATTTATTAATTCTCATCTCAATTAATGTATGGACTGGAGTATAACCTTTTGCAAATGGTTAATTATTTTTTGTTTATTCCCCTGATATTATTAATTTAATACACTTATTTAAAATGTGATCACTTTTTAAGTATTCTACAAAGAGATTTTAGTATAACTGTATAAGTGACTTTGCCTTGACACTGGAGGATAGGGCTGGGACCAGTTCGGTTCTTACTCAAAATGAGTGGAACCGTTATAAAAGTTTTAACTAATGAAATCGGTTCGGTTCCTAAATAAAAATTCAAGAACCGTTATGGAACCGAACCGGTAGTAAACGGTTCGGTTCTTCCTTTTACCGGTTCCTAGAATAATTTTTCTCATCTAAGAATCAACACATAATTTTAAACACGTCGAAAATTCAAAACACGAGTATTAAAATTTTATTTGAAGCTCTAATCACTTCAAACATCAAAGCTCAAACATAACTAATGAACTTTGAACACTTAATAGAACAAAAGTGATTTAAATTTTCATGTAATAAATGAAACATTAAAAATCGTTGTAGTGTCGGAGCGATGAAGGTTACTCGTCATCATAGTAGCAAGAATAGGACGCTTACTTCAAGTCGTTCAAAACATAAACAAAAAAAGACATTGAGTTTGCATATATAGATATAAAAAAACATTATTACATTCTATTGATTCATAATAAATCTAATAATTAGAAATATCATGAAAATAGTAAAGTAAAATATGTGCAATCAACTACAAGTTATTTGGGTTATTTTATATTTATAAAATTTATGTGATGGAACAAAACTTGATTTGTATAAAGGAGTTTAATGTATTATATCAACCTCATGTACAATATTTATTACTTCTTTTCCGTTGATTAAATTAGAATTGTCAGTTAAATATTTTATATTGTTTTATTATTATTGTTGTTGTGGTGGTTATTATTGCTATTATATTATTATTATTATTATTATTATTATTATTATTATTATTATTATTATTATTATTATTATTATTATTATTATTATTATTATTATTATTATTATTATTATTATTATTATTATTATTATTATTATTATTATTATTATTATTATTATTATTATTATTATTATTATTATTATTATTATTATTATTATTATTATTATTATTATTATTATTATTATTATTATTATTATTATTATTATTATTATTATTATTATTATTATTATTATTATTATTATTATTATTATTATTATTATTATTATTATTATTATTATTATTATTATTATTATTATTATTATTATTATTATTATTATTATTATTATTATTATTATTATTATTATTATTATTATTATTATTATTATTATTATTATTATTATTATTATTATTATTATTATTATTATTATTATTATTATTATTATTATTATTATTATTATTATTATTATTATTATTATTATTATTATTATTATTATTATTATTATTATTATTATTATTACTACTACTACTACTAATATTATTTTATTTTTTATTTTTTTAATAATGGTTCCGTAACGGTTCCAAGCACATATTTTTTATAAGAACCGGGAACCGAACCGTTATAACTTGCTTCGGTTCGGTTCCTACAAATGAGACATTAATTGTTAACGGTTTGGTTCCTAGATGTTGTTAACGGTTCGGTTCCAATCGATTCTACGGTTCCCGGTTCCAAAATCCCACCCCTACTCGAGGATTATTTTTCTCAGGTGAAATATAGTGGAATGGAAATTATCGAAGTGGCAATGACACATGGGGTTTCATTTGAGGAAAAATGGGTGTGGAAACTGGGAAGGATTACCGTTTGAGAAATACTCAATAAAATGTGCCTTATTTTTTTGAAATGTTGAACCTTGCTTTATGAATATCTCATCTCGTCCTCTCTACAGATGGCAATTTCGGCCGACCCGTTGGATACCCGCACCGAACCGATTTGGTCAAATTGGGGAAAACCAGTTTGACTGGGAAATGGGTACGGGGCGGGGAATACCCGAATTTTTTAAATGGTTAATGGTGCGATTATGGTTCTATATTAATCCGCCCCGTTATCTGCCCCGAAACCGCCCCGTTACCCAATCCGTAACATTATTAATTATTTATAATAATTTTTTATATATAAGAATAATAAGTATATATGCTAAATTGTGTATACTAAATAGTATATATCATATAAATAATGCTAAAAAGTATACTACTTTTTTAGGCCTAAAACTAAATATAGGCCTAAACCTGTTTTTGGAATTTGGCTTCTGGGATGATTACTACTTTTTTATTATGTTACAAGAGATATTAGGTGCATGTCCAACTAATGCGTTTAGGCCAGTCTGCTTGATTGCTCAAATGTTTGCTTTTGTATGTTTTAGGGTGCTTTGAATATATAAATATCAAGTAGGATTAAAAATTGGTTATTTGTTTTCTAAAAAAATGGTTATTTGGTATCATTTGGGGAAACGGTTACCCGTGGATAAACCGATTCCCCATTGGGGCGGGTACGGTTAAAAAAAAATTACCCGAATGGGTAATGGGGCGGTTTTGGGGCAAACATTTATCCAACGGGGCGGTTTCGGTTTTATGTGTACCCGTCCCCGATCCGCCCCGTTGCCATAACTACTCCTCTCTACTTCTCGTGTGTATCGGGATCCTTTTAATGCACGCAATTAATGCCAAATGTCACAAGCCCAAATTGCGTTGAATTTCCAATCACAATCATACATAGAGCCCGATACTCAAATTAGTTGTATTGGTTGATTTTGTTGAAATTTACAAAAATCTAGTTGGAGTGCTTGGATTGACTGATTCCACTGATTTACGTGGAAAAACTATAATAAAATAAATAAAAAATTATACGAAAAAACAGCTAAAATGATCTTATACAGTAACTTCAGTCAATACAGTCAGAAAAGTAACTCTAACCTTACTTTTTCTAATTATTACACAATTCAATTACTCGTTTGACGAAATGTTAGCTGATAAGCCGAAAAACAAGCTCACCACAGCTCATTGACCCGTAGAGAGTTTCAAATCATAATATTCATCTTTCAAATGATGTTACTTGATTAAATATTAAAAACAAATGCTTAAACACAATTAAAAATATCATTAATCATTAAAATTTAAAAGTGCTACATACTACATCCGTTCTTAAATAAGTGCAACATACAAAATTTTACACTATTCACATGTTCTACTTTGACTACATTTTATTCATTGATGTATTAAGATATTTTTTGAAAAAAATATTACTAATTTTGTCTCATTGTATATTTTCAAAATCTGATTTTTTTTTAATTTTTTTTAATAATAGAGAGTTATATATATTAATGGTCAAAGTTGTGTCTCGACAAATGTGAAATGTTGACCGTTGCACTTATTTAAGAACAGAGGAAGTATATAATATCACAGTTATCACCAATGACTTAATTATATTATATACCCATTAAGATGACTTCTCAAAATATACTTGAATAACTTTATTTAATTATTATCTAAATAATTCTATCATTTTTTTCAATGGAAAGCTTATGTCAGGCACAGGTAGTATTTTTATAATTTATTAGATTCAACTACAATGTCAGTAATATAAACACATTTATCAGATTGAGTTAATTTTAATGTTAACCAACACACTCTCATTACAATGATTTTTTTTAATATGGAGAAGTGTTTATCACAATCTTACCGAATTCTCGTTCTAATTGGCTTTAAGAATATTTATTTCACTGCCTTGTTTATATCTACTAATAAATAACACTCCTTTTTTTTTAATGAATAAATAACACTCCTTAAAAATATTGGATTCTCAAGGAAATATGATAATTTTATTAACTCCTTGCCAAATGCATACTGTCTTTTCCTAAGTTCAAATTTTCATATGGATGAATTTAAAATACATCCTATTTTTATTTTGATGTTTTATACTTAGCTCTATTTTTATTTTTGTTTTTTTGTGAGATGCAAAATAATTTACTAATTTATTTACGAAGTACAAGGTTTTTGGTAATTAAAATACGGTGTAATAAAAACGAAATTTGAAGTAAAAACACAAATTTTCCCTTTTAGTATTTCCATTTCAATATCAAACTCCGTTTGAATTTCAAAAAACAAAAAATCCGACCGTTAGGCAGTGTTCTTAGAGACCAAGATATATACAGTTACAAATCTTACAATACAATACCCTGTTTTCTGAGAGATCTGTCTCAGCCATATCAACCCAACACCCACTTGTTTCTTCTCCGAGCTACCAAAAAGCCATGGATGCTGTTCCGATGAAGAAAGAAACCTCCAGAAAGGCACTGAAGCCTCAAAGGCCTTCGTCAAGTGAGGCCAATATCATGGCCGGAGTATTAGACTCCGATTTAACGGATTCTGCATTTCCGTCCGGAAATTCCGCCGAGAAAGAGAATCACGAGAGCTTCCGCCGGAAGAATCCAAAGAAAGGTATGGGGGCGTCCAAGGCAAAAAAGCAAATCGGAGATTCGTCATTCGAGAAGGCATTTCATGAGATGCAGGAAAAGCTTGAGAAGTTGAAGATTGAAAAGGAGCATACTGAGGAGCTCTTGAAGGCCAGGGATGAAATGATTTTGCAGAAGGAGAAGGAGCAGGAGAAGCTTCAGTCTGAACTCAAGAAACTTCAGAAAACCAAAGAGTTTAAACCCATCCTTGTAAGTTTCTCCATTTTTTATATCTGCCAAATATAAAAAACCTAAGTTTTAGATTACCTCCATTTTCTGGGTAATTTCAGGACAAAGTTTTATATTGGGTAATATATGTTGAGATATTGTCTTGTTAAATGGATTCCTCAGATAGAATCATAAGCTTAAATAAATAAACATGACTACAGATCTTTATTAATCAAGTCACTGGTTGTTCTAAACCATCTAATTGATGTGAAATCTTTGGCAGAATTTCCCAATTTTATTGGGAGACAGAGATCAGAAAAAGAAAGGGAAGAAATTGAAAGACCCAAGGAAGAAGAAGCCAGCTACAGCTTATCTCTTGTGGTGCAAAGACCAATGGAATGAGGTTAGTTAATTAAGTATAGACACACACACTGGGTGATTTCAATCTGCTTGTGGGTTATTGATTACTTGCCTAGGAATTGTATATATGAGATTGTGAATTGGAAACTCTCAGGTGAAGAAGGAAAACCCAAAAGCAGAGTTTAAGGAGGTAACAACTCAACTAGCTGCAAAATGGAAGACAATCAGTGCGGAAGAGAAGAAGCCATATGAGGAAAAGTATCAGTCAGAGAAGGAAATATACTTGAAGATTGTTGGAAATGATAAGCGCGAACATGAAGCTCTTAGACTACTAGAGGAAGAGCAAAAGCAGAAGAATGCTTTGGAGTTGCTTGAGCAATACATTCAATTCCAGCAGAAAGAGTCAGAGATGGAAAACAAGAAGAAAAAGTAAGATTTCACATTCATACTTATGGTCAAATGATACTATAAAATGCATAAATGCATAACTGCTGTTTTCACTCTATTCTCATAATAATTGGATTCTGTGTATAGAAAGGAAAAAGATCCATTGAAGCCAAAGAAGCCATTGTCTGCTTTTTTCTTGTTCTCAAATGAGCGCCGTACTGCTCTTCTTGCTGAGAATAACAAGAATGCTGTAGAGGTAAATCATTAAGGTCCTCCGATTTGATATTCTGCAACTTTGCATGTTTAATCTCAAACTGGTGGTATTATTTTGACGTATAGGTCGCAAAATTAATGGGAGAAGAATGGAGGAGCTTAACAGATGAACAGAAAGCACCTTATGAAGAGGTGGCTGCAAAGAACAGAGAGCAGTATGCTCAAGAAATGAGGTCTTATCAGAAGAAGAAGGAAGAAGAAGCCGCCTCTCATGAGAAGGAAGAGGAGGAGATGATGAAAATTAAGAAGCAGGAGGCAATGCAATTGCTCAAAAAGAAGGAGAAAGTTGAAAATCTTATTAAGGTTATTCTTTTTCATCTGCTTTTATTTACTTCTTATTATCATATAGTGTTAAGTGCATCATAGTAAAAGTTTATTTTAATAAGTTGCAGAAAACCAAAGACGAGCATAAGAAGAAGCAGAAGAAGGAAGAAAAACAGACAGACCCAAGCAAGCCAAAGAAACCTGCTTCTTCATTCCTCCTATTCAGCAAAGAGGAGAGAAAGAAGATAGTTGAAGAAAAGCTGGGAACCAATCCCACCTCTATTAATGCAATCATTTCGGTAAAGTGGAAGGTAAAGAACCCAACGAAAAAGCTCAAAAATTGTAGTTTTTAGCCACTCAAATAGAACACAGATTGTAATTGATTGTTGTTTTTGGTGGTATGGATTCAGGAATTGAGTGAAGAAGAGAAGCAAGTGTGGAGCGACAAGGCTGCCCAAGCAATGGAAGCCTACAAGAAGGAATTGGAAGAATATAATAATAACAAGGCCAGGGAGATTAACAACTAACTGAACGGTTTATTATTTTTCCTACTGGTTCAATTGGTTGGGTTGAACTTAATTTTAAGAAAGTTAATATGCAAGAGTCAACAGCCCATCTTCTTTTTCACTATCAATAGTTTATTTGACAATCATGCCAGATATGAGTAAAATAATGTTCAAATTCAATAGTATGAACAAGTGTTGTAATATACAAAACTGGAGTTGCTCTTAAGGTGTGTTTGCAATAGTTTGTGAAAAACACTTGTGCTTTATTGCTAAAAAAAGTCAAAACCTTTGTTTGCAAAACACAATACAACTTAATACTCCGTCTTAATCACTTTTACCCTAAAAGCTCGAAGCTCCTCGACTTGCTTTTTTAGCTTGGTGGTAATTTGGTAATTGGCTTCAACTTGGAGGAACATTATATTTATAATATGCGTCTGTGTCTCGTTAATGCCCTTCCTCTTCTCTAATATATCGGGAAAGTTCCTCAAATAAGACTAAAAAGTTTGAAAATTCTAAAATAGGATTATCATGTTTTTATTCCCAAAATAGGAGTAATTACTGTCAAGTTTGGAAAATACTGCCATGTTTGAAGTCTGGTACTGCCAAAACATGGTAGTAATTAGTCATATTTTCGGAATATAAACATGACAATCTTAGTTTGAAACATCCAAACCTTTTTAGTCCTATTTCGGATAATATACCAACACATCAGACAAATACCCATCCAAGAATGAAGCTTATGGCCACCCATAAAAATTCTGATTCTCCATTTTTTCTCCTATTTGCGCCACTGGTAAGCAAAGTTGGAAGCCCATCCTTTTACACTCTAATTGAAGATCTAGGAATTTCTTTATGTCCAGTTTGGGACATTTCCTGGTTGAATTTTTTGATGATTTTTTTAGCATGTTCCCATTCCCCATCAAGTTAGTTTATTCATACCAAATTTGAACTCAAAACGATTTAACTGTCTTCCCGATCGAATTATATATACGGAGTATTATTTATCTTCCTAAAATAGGATTAAAGTATAACTTAATATGATAATTATATTTTAATTTGTAATAAAAACAAAAAATAATAAAAAATAGTTTAACTTATACGTACTACTTATAAAATATCCTAAAAATGTTAAAAAAATCTAAAATACTTTTAAAAAATATTAAAATAATAAAAGTTTAAATGTATTACCGAATATTTTAAAAAAATAAATAAAAAACTTTAAAAATAAATAAAAATTAGATAATACACATGAAAAATTATAAGAAAAATTTGGAGGCCCGCAGCCTGGCCACCGTAAGAAAAATTTGGAGGCCTTTCCCGCAGTCTGGCCACCGCAAAGCAATGCCGCCGCCACCTCCTATCGGCAAAAGAAAATGTCATTTTTTCTATGAGAATGCCACATGATAACATTTTTACTCTTTGAAAATTTCTCGAAAACTACCCTCAAGATGGCAATTCTGACACATGTTGGCATGTTTTTACTGTGGCGGAGCTGGTGGTGAGGCACTGAGGCGGCAATAGAGACCTGCATTTTTTAAAATATTATTTATGTTTTTATTTTTTATTTTGGTTTTTAAGTTTTTTATTTTATAATTGTTTATTATTCTAAGGGAAAAAGTGCAAATAGGCCCATGTACTAACAAAAAAAGGTCAAATAAGCCCTTATTTAGGAGGCTCTGTCCGGACGTCGCCATTTGGGGTGGTTCCCGTTGGAATTTTTTGATGAAATGTTTTGAGCATCTTATTCAATAAGTCTAGTTTACTCATACCAAATTTCAGCTAAAACTTCAATCGGGAAGGCATTCAAATGAACTTTTGAAAATAACTGCGCAGTTAGAAGCGCGGTTATCTTCAAGAATTCATTTGAATGCCTTCCGGATTGAAGTTTTAGCTGAAATTTGGTATAACTAAACTAGACTTGATGAATAAGATGCTCAAAAAATTTCATCAAAAAATTTCACCGGGAACCATCCCAAATGACGACGGCCAGACAGAGTCTCCTAAATAAGGGCTTATTTGACCTTTTTTGGTTAGTACATGGGCCTATTTGCACCTTTTTCCTTATTCTAATTTTCTTATTTTTTTTAATTTAATTTAATATGTATTTTCATTTTTTTATTTTTCATTTATTATAAGTAAATTTATGTTATTACTTCTATGTTTTAATTATTCATGAAATATGAAAATACATATTAATGTTATTGTCCTATTATATCAATTAAAGTTTCATTTAGTCTTATTTAGGAAATTCCTCTCAAAAGTCCCCCAAAAGTATATCAGACTAAGAGTTCATCTCATCTTGCCATTAGACTTTGGATGATTACAAGATTCATAATTATAGCCAATTCTCTTTCGGGAATGTTTCCGAAATAGGACTTAAACAGTTGGAAAATTTCAAAACAGGACCGCCGTGTTTTTTATTCCCATAACAGGAGTAATTACTGTCAAGTTTGGAAAATATTGTCATGTTTGAAGTCTGATACTGCCAAAACATGCCAGTAATTAGTCCTATTTTTGGAATAAAAGCATGTCAGCCATATTTTGGAATTTTCAAACCTTGTTAGTCCTATTTCGTGTAATATTCTCTTTCTTGAACCTCTCACTTTGGCTCTCTTGTAGTCTCGTCTCCATGCATGTGTATATGAATATATCCATTTCCTTTCTTTTTATAAATTTTTAAAATAGTTCACACTCTGTCATGCATTAATATTTTAAGAAATTACTCAAAATAAGAGTAAAATATATGCAAAGTTTTAAAATAGAAAATAAACACATTTTCTCTTTAAAATAAAACTTATTTTAATAGCACATGAGTGCTATTGAAATAAGAATACAAACATCCTTGAATAAGAGCTGAAGTGAACATGAGTGCTATTTGGAGAAGTAAATCAGTGCACTCCTATTTTAGAAAATATACATGCTTTAATCATATTTTGAAAAATTTCTCTTAATCTTTCTTTAATCAAGGTGATCTTTCGACATAGTGGCAATTCCAACAATTATGTGGGGATAGACAAGATTAAATGACAACATTAATTTGACGAAATATAATGAATATAAAATATCGTCCAAAAAAATTGAATATAAAGTATAAACACGTTAAACGAAATTTAAAAAAATATGATAAAATATTATATTCATCTATGTTCTAGTATCTATATAATATAATAAAGCAAACCCTTGGAGAGCTCATTAGATGAATTATTGACATGTGACAACACCCTTTATTTGTGTGAAAAAAATGCATGTGGCAACACAATAAATTCAAAAAAAATTATTCAACTTCTAAAACTCTACTCTTATGCCAATATTATATATATATATATATAATAAGTATATTTGAAAATAATTTTGGCAGTCAAATATAAATAAATATTTATATTTAAATGGACAGGAAATGTTGAATTTATTTTTTTAAAAATGTCACTGCATTTTTTATTTATGGTAACACGTATTTCTACTTCACATAATGCACAATTTTCAAATCTAACATTCTGGTTCAACATTCCGGTTCATTCTAATTCTCTTCATAGATTGCATTCTCATTTGATCACCCAAATTTAACGTATAAGAAACTAAAATACTAAGCACACAATACTTGATAAGTTTAATTTAAAATATTATTTAATCATTGCTATACTAAAATTTGAAAACTGTTACATTGTACTACCTCCGTTCCACTAACATTGGGACATGGGGTGGTGACACGATTATTAAGAATAATGAGTTTATGTAGTTGACATTGAATTGATAAAGTAAGAATGATTTAAAACTACATAAATCTTACCTAATTTTGTATGAGACAGTGTTAGAGGGACTGATCGAAAGGGAAAGCTAAGAGAATCTTAGCGAGACGAAGGGAGTATCTATCAAAAACACTCATTGGAAAAAAATAAAGATGCAATTTACATCTTTTGAGTAAACATTTGTACAAAATGACTATTAATTGTTAAGATATTTTTTTCAACAATAACATAAAAAATATGCTAGAGTCATTTTTTTATGGTAATTTATTTGAGTAATTAGTATATATGGAAATAATAGTTCAACAAGGGTTGTAAAATTATAAGTATGCTTGAAAATAATTTTGGTAGTAAACCATCAACATTGAAGACAAAAAAATTAAAAAACATATGTTTGTATTTTGGGTTACTCACAACTTGCATGGGTCAACTCACTGAACATGCAACCCGTGCAAGTTGACCCACGAAACCAGTGAGTTCATTGGGTAAACAAATGACAACTCTTACCCACCGTGAAATGAGATGAAATGGGCTAGCCTAGGGATTTTGACTCATTTTGACAGCTTTATTCACAGTCAAGTGAATTTTATTTTAAACTCTGATTGACGAATTCACATACAATTCGTTTCTCTTACAATTTTAATAAAATCTTTAAGTTCATATTTTGCCGTGCGGTGCATGGGTACACATACTAGTATTCTAAATGGTAAGATTGTCTCAATATGGAACTCAATGAATGATAGTAGGTGCCTTCAACACGTCATTAATAACCAATGAAATGTCATGTAACTTAGAAGTGTGTATGGATTGTCATGAACTTTTTTAATTCATGGACTATTAAAAAAAGTCAATAGACTTTTAAGTCCATGAACTTTTTTATAAATTAATTCTATTGACTTTTACATCCATGGATAAGTTTATAGACTTTTGAAAAGTCTATATACTTTTAAATCCGGAATGCCACTACCGGCTGTCGTCGTCATCAGACTGATCCGCATCACCAAAATGGATTTGGTTATGCAAGGAAACTAGAGTCAATTAATTATATTAATTAATTAAATTAGGGGTAGAAATATAATATTTAGTCCTACTTAAGGGAAATCAAACATATGATCATACTTTGGGGAAAATGTTGCTCCCTCCGTCTCTTAAAACTTTACCAACTTTCCCTTTTTTGATTATCCCAAAAATATAATGAGAAACAATAAATAAATAAATGAAACAAATGTATTTCATCTAGCAACACAGCTAGAGGTGTACAAGAGTAAATGAAGCATAAGAATCCAAATTTATTTTTATTAAAAAGAAAACTCAAAGTTTCGAGAATGCTCAACAATCTCGAACTATTTATGATCAATTGTTATATTACACAACTCAATGAGTAAGAGAAGAAATCGTTACAAAAGGGTTACACTCATTGCTACATGTGGTACACGAATAGGTGCAATCGAGTTTATCTTCTTAATAATCGTTTTCTTTTCATTTTTAGATTGTTAAATTTTTTACTTAT